TGCTGTAGATCATGGATATGCGCATATTAAATTGAAAAAACAAAGACGGACACACTTGCCTTTGTTTTGGCAAATTTAACACGCTAGACCTTTCGTTTTTTTGTAGCGTGCCATATGTCACGGTAAGTGTGCGAATTATAGCACGGTTAGCGTGCAATTTGGGTAAGACACGCTGAACACGCTTGATTACTAAAACTGTTAAGATGATAAAAATGGCTTGGGTTTTCAGCGGATTTTTTAATCAGCATTGATAACTGGTCGAAGTGTATCAAATACACGAATTGAGACTGTTTTGGAATTTGATCGTAACCGTGGCCATTTGAAAATCACGACTTAATGGTGGTCTAGCCTGGAATTAACGCGAGATCAGTGTAAACCAATTCCTCCGGCTGTAGGCTTTCGACCGGAATCGCAAAGAGGCCTGCCATCGCATGCAAGGCACTGAAGTTATGTCGCCTGAAAATTATAGTTATGCCACCGGAATATTTATTAGCAGTAATGCACAGAGAAATGAAGTTGAATAAATTAGTTTAATATATTTCTTTAAGCCAAGCTGAGACGAACGAAGGTAATTAAATCGGAGAAACAAAAACTGCCTAGAATTTTCTATAGGTTGAGGAAGGCTAAACATTTCTAGATGACCGTTCCATGCATGCACAATTTTCGAAGGTTATCTAATAAATTCATTATGATTTTCTGAAGTTTAATTTTTTCCATTTCATTCCCCAAGTTAAGCTATTTTTCGTAGAGAATTAAGGAATCCTAAAATTTTCGGAACCGAAAATACGATAAAATTCTCACTTTCCTAAAACTTTCAATTGAAAGCTAAATTTGTCGGGGAAATAATGCTGAAGCCCTTGTAATTTCGAAAAGACTGAAGTTGTCCTATGATGCTAGGATGCATTTTGGAGGAAATCGCCCTCAGGTACCCCTGACGAACGAAGCGCTATCAATCATAATTTATGTGAAGATATCTCGTTACGCTATGCTAAGACGAATCAAGCGCCGTTAACTTGTACTATATCTCGTTCTTCACAGGACGAAAAAAACAAGAATCTGTAAACTAAAAACACTGTAGAATGAAGGAGGATTGCGGGCGACTTTTCTTTGAATTTTGGGCGACAAAACTCATATTATCAGGTTTTGGACGACATAACTTCAAACGACATCACCTTCGAGTAGCTTGACCGTCACCCCTTTAGATCGACCTCGATGAATTAATTCAATGACCGAACTTTATGGAACAAATGATTGCCTTCAAGAATTTCACGCGGACTACTTTTAATTTAGTTCTTTTTCTCTTTTCTCAGTGTGTGACTGACAGAGATTTAATTCTCGGATCGAACTTTAGTACTCTAAATACAATCAGGGGCACCCAACGGCAATTTTCGGGAAAATCTCTGTTCGGAAGACGATTTGAGATCTTGAATTTTCGGAGCATTTGTTGTAAAATTTCTTGCTTGCCTGCCTCTCCTAGGATTTTCGAACATTTACAAAATGGTATAATTACCCATTTTTAACGGATTTTGACCCTAAAAAAGACCACCTAGAATTGTCGGGAGCCTTTTCCTGGCTGCAATTTTCGAGAAGGTAAGTTTTTATCCCTATAATTTTCGGATCACTAGACTTTCAGCTAGGAAATCCGAACAGATGAAAAGTTATTAGGGGATAAAAATATGCCTATATCTACGGTTTGAATACTAAAATACGTTCAACAATGCTATGTTAAGTGGTTTTGAACTATATCCTCGTTGGGTGCCCCTGATACAATAAATACAATTTAGCGATCCTGGCACTTGATGATTTCTATTATATTTGATCGCGATTGCTGCGATCGGCAAGAAAGTGTCTTAAGTCCGAAAGATTACTGTTTCTGAGAAAATTGCAAATGTGTTTTAAATTAAGGAAAGTTAAGATAACGTTTGCACAGCTTCGTCAGTAAACATGTCTAGAAAGAACTTTGATTTTGCAATGCTAATATAGTTCTACCCATAAAGCCAGTAGGTCACACCGTTCACTGTTTATACTTTTCAAGCGACAACGTTTTTTCAATCAGATACTATCGCTACGATCGCTGAGGTATAACTATTTCTTTCTCGATAGTTACCAAAAAAAGGGTGCCGTTCATAATCATTTACGGTTCCTTTTTGTAGAGGAAATTTATTTAGCTTATAGATAACACGCCTCGCGTGCTTTTGCGCACACTTAAAGCGTGTTGTGCTTTTTCGCACGGAGCTTTTGTTTGAAAACTTTAACACACTCTTTTGTTCGACTTACTCACGCTTAATTGTCTCAAGCGTGTCCTCTGAAACAAAAGAAATTGCTAATGAGGCAAGATTGCAAGCGTGCTAAAGCGTGTTAAAATAGATTCTTTTATTTTAAAGTGAAAGCGTGTCGTGCGCGTGCTTTCACCTTTAGCATTAAAATCCTGTGGAGGGTCACATATAAGAGCGCCACTGTAAGCAAATTAGCTAAGCTTCAGGTAATCAGTTCTTGTTCCTGGGAACCTTAATTTTTTTCTTCGCGTTGCGAAAATAGTGATTCGGTGTTTTGGAGGTAAAAAAATTACAAAGATAAGCTGGGGCGAGATTATTAATGCACTTGTTCATTAAAGTAGCCTTTTCTTTAGCCCTTATAACCAATAAATTGTCCCAACCAAGCGAGTTAAGAAGATATCTGGAACTCGTGTCATAGCTAGATTTGGTGATAACTCTGATAGCACGATTTTGAAGTTTTTGAAGTTTCTAACCAAGCTGTTGGGTCAAGCCATCCCATACAGCGCTGCAATAATCGAATTGTGGCTCGATAAGACCTTTGTATATTTTAATTGCAGTGCGTATTGAAACAAATGGCCTGACCCGCTTAAGAGCACCGATACCAGAGGATACTCTTTTAGAGATTTCATGAATGTGGGCCTTCCACTAGAGATTTTAGACTTGAGATTGCGAAATCGAACTCGAAAATCAGTGATGACTG